TTTAAATTGTGGTAGAAAGCAGAAAACATAAAATTCACTATCTCAACTATTTATATGCACATAGTTCCATAGTGTTAAGTATATTTACATTTCTGTGCAACAGATTTCTGGGTATCATTTTAATATGCTTGTGGGTATATTAACCAGAACTGGGAATCTTGAAGGAAGAAGGAGTTGTTAGAGCATATTCCAAATGATGTCAATCCTTATTACATTATCGTAAAAAAAAATAGTTCTATTCCCTTACAAACAAAAATGTATTGTATGTACAAAAACATGTTTAGCATAACTTTATACTCCTTCACCAGTTAAGCCCATAACTCTAGAAAGAAGTCTTTAGTAGGCACATGTTCATATTGTTGGGTAGAAAGGACAGGTTTGCCACTTAATACATGTCCTTTTTGGTATATCCTACTAAGTTTCTCCTTATATTGCATTGCCACAATATGTAAAACAAACAAACAAGCAAATAAAAAAAACCCAAAAAACCGCTAATAAGGCAAAATTAAACTTCTCCTGGTCTTATATGAATGTCAAAATCAGGTAAATATGTGTTTATTATTATTCGGGGCCTGCTGAATCATTTTTAGGCACACCAGTTTCCCCTGTCTTTTATTTTCACGGTGGTTATTCTGTCTCATAGTGTCTGATCTTTTCTCTCACAACTCTTGACACAGTTTGTGCCAAGATACTCTCATAGTCATGTGGGCATCTGTTTAATGTCTAGCTCCCCAATATTCTGAGCTGATAGCATGAAGAATGACCCAGAAGGTCCTCAACAACTACTTGTTGCCTGGGAGCAGCACACAAAGTGTCTGCTTCTTCATTCAATCAATTTCCATTGAGTACTGACACTGTGTCACATGGCTGTGAAAGCTTATTTCCAAATCCTGGACCTTCATGAAGGGCAGTCAGTCAGTTACACCTTTTCATAAAAAGAATTATGACTTGAGGTCTTATTGCTTATGACTCAAGGATAGCTACACTATACTTTGGTTCAGGTCTCCAAGGCTCTTTTCTCTAATAGATACAGGTGACCCTATTTTAAGTATCAGTTTCTGTGTATATGTGCCATCATCATAAACTTTATGAAACATTCTATGAAGTAGTGAATAGTGGGCTTCTCACTGCTTATATCTACCTACCAGTGTGTGTCAGATTCTTTCTCTATGAGATTGATACCCCACAACTTAAAAAATGTTTCAGGGGCTGGGGATGTGGCTCAAGCGGTAGTGCGCTTGCCTGGCATGCATGCGGCCCGGGTTCGATCCTTAGCACCACATACAAAACAAAGATGTTGTGTCTGCCAAAAACTAAAAAATAAATACTAAAAAATTCTCTCTCTCTCTCTCTCTCCCTCCCTCCCTCCCTCCCTCCTCTAAAAAAAAAATGTTTCAGACAATCTCATTTTACCAACAACATGAATTGAGCATTGGAGGAAATTGCTCGAAAAGAAGAAACAAAAGTGGAATTTTTCATTGGCTGATTCTGATACCTTATATACATGACCTGCTACTGTCAGGGAAAGGCGGGGAAATGACCCCTGGAGAGCAGTAAAGACTAGCATGCCCTTGTACTTTGTCCTCCACCTCTCCTAGTGTTCTCAAGTTTAAGCAGACTGTCAAAAACACCTAAATAATTTCTGTAACAGTTGGTGAAGAAGAGAGTACTCCAATGGTATACAGGAAAAGAGGGAATCAATGAGATAAGAAAATACACTAAATAAGTTATTTGCCATATGAGTTTACATTCAGCTCACAAAGATATTCTTCCAGGTATGACAAGAGATGCAAAATTAAACCACCTTGCTGTAGAACAGTGAATGCATCTTGTGGCAATTACTAGATTGAAATTCTCTGGGGAGACTACAAAAACATGAGCAGTTTGGGCTGGGTGTGGTGGTGTATGCCTTGTAATCCCATCAGCTCCAGAGACTGAGGCAGGAGGATAACAAGTTCAAAGCCAGTCTCAGCAACTTATCCAGGCCCTAAGCAACTTAGGAAGACCCTGTCTCAAAAAATAGAAAGGGGTCTAGGATTGTGGCTCAGTGGTAGAGCACTTAACCTCACATATGAGGCATGGGTTCTATCCTCAGCACCACATAAAAGTAAACAAATAAAATAAATTGTGTCCATACACAAGTAAAAATATATAATGAAAAGGGCTGGGAATGTGGCTTAGTGGTTAAGTGTTCCTAGGTTCAATTCCTACAATTTGGTGTTGTCAAATACAAGCAATAATATAAATAAATACCTCAATCAATGAATGAATGAATGAACAGCAAGATCTACCTTTTTCATAATGTTTTGTTTTAAATATTTAAAAATACATTTAAAAGTACAACTACAGTTTATAGATGATTTTTCTTTGGAACCTAGAGTTGCTTTACAGTTGATCTATATCCCTAGTCATTTTTATTTTTTATTTTTTTGTTTGACACAGGGTCTTGCTAAGTTGCTGAGGTTGGCCTGGAACTTGTGATCCTCCTGCCTTGGAGTCCCTTGTTGCTGGGATTACAAGCACGCACCACAGCACCTGACTAGATGGTCTCTTTAAGGAAGAGAAAATAATCTCAACAAAAAAATAAAGAGGAAGGAAATAATTATTTTTTCTAACAGCCAATGTGAGCACTGAGGCCCTTTTGCTCAGACTGAGAGTAAACATACAGTGTTCATTAATTGTGCCTTTTCCAAAACTGTTCCATAGTATTTCTCTTGACTCCACAGTTGAATATGTTAGTTGGAAGAAGGTCTGACTACCAAAAGGGTGACTGCAGGTATGCTGAGTTCCTGTAGTGCTGAGAGACTTGGCACCTTCATAAGCTACTTCCTAATACCAACCCCAGCATATAATGTCTTCAGAAGCTTGAATAAACATTGGACTTAGATTCACATAAATTATTTCTGTCCTGAAGTTCTGTATGCCAGAATTTAGTAAAAAAAAAAAAAACAAAAAACACTTTGTGTAAATAAAATTGGTGTATAAATGCAAGAATATTCACCCAAGTAAATGATCATAGAAAAATATAATCAAAAGTACACACTTGTAAATCTTGCAATGATGTGAGCTGTTTATCTTGTGCTTCTGAGTTGTTATTGAATATTTCCATAGTTTCTTTAAGCTGACACTGCCAATGTACTTTGGTTTTTCAGTTGCTTTGTGTAATTGTAAAGTCTTCAAGTTTCATTAAAATGCTCAGGAATTATTTTAATAATTATATGTGTGATTAGCGCCTGTTTAGTGCTTGATCTACAAATTCATTTTAAAAGTAAACACTGGAACAATAAAATGGAATGCCAGATATGACTGCTCCTGTCAGCAGAAACATTGTCTTATTTTATTAAAAATCACCAACAAAATGTCATGTACAAAAGATACAGCTTCTATTTATAGACATTTTCTACTGTACAATATTATAGTATCTGAACACTGCAAGGCTCTAGCAGAGTTTTCATTTTGCCTAGGGTAAATTCATAAATCGAGAGCTATTTTTCATACATGCATACATCTTATTACAGCTTCCCCCAACGTCCTATTTGGATTTGGGGTCTAATATAACAGTGCTCACACCGCCGGTACTGAGTATTTATAAGTGAATGAAGATTTCCTGGGAATGATGATAATTTAGCTATTGGAAATAATAACATTATAATATTCTCAGTGATCCATTTTGGCTTTAAGTACTTATTAAATAATATTTATTCCTAAAATATGTACTTATAAAATTAAATGAAATTGCAATATGCAATAAAAACACATTTCTTTCTAAATTCCAATTGACTTCATTTCTCACAGACACCTCTCCTTATGTTTATTCTGCAGTTACTTTTTTCTACTCTCTCTGTACCTTCAGCTCTTTTCTCTGATGTGTTGATACACTTTCTCACTGACTTTATCCACATTCTCTACCCACTCTTCCCCCTCTTGTTATTCTCTCATTCCCTACTGATATGGGAATAATAGGATCCCAAGGCTGTCCTTACAGTATAATTAAAGTGTGAATTTCCAGGAGTTAGAAATTGCAGACCATTTTTATTATGCTTCTATAATAAAGCCAGGTAACATTGAGAGAATTAAAATGGCTTTTTCCTAGCAGATTACGTGGTAAAGATTTTTTCCCTTTGGTTCTATTGTTTTAAGAAAGTAGAAGCCGGAAATGAGAATAGGTTCACCAATTCTTTTTTCTGAAAACACCTCTATCTTTTACATGATATATATCCCCCTAGATCCTGGGAATATGTTATAAACTTGTAACAGATGGTGATGAAGCTTCACATTTTTATACAATACATTTTTTAAGATTCTGCATCTACTCAGTGTATCTTCCAGGAAAAATGACCTTGAATGAATGAAGTCATAGTTTGAAGGAAAAACACTCCACAGATAGACCAGCATAGAAATGATGAGTCAATTGGGTTTTGTTTTGTTCTCTTCAGTTAGATGAAATAATTTCAGATGAAAAACAGAATGTTGAAAAAAAGGAATTGAAGGTCATCTTAATACTGGAGGTGCATTTGTTAATTTTTCCAGGAAAACCAGTTAGCTGTATTCTGTACTGAATAGAAACATGTGGAAGATGGGGTATCTCTGTCTGCAAGTAGAAATGCTATTTGCTTCACTTGGGTAATGTTGGGGGCTTACCAAAAATTGTTCTGGCACAACGTCTACCAGCATGAATGTTAGGAGGGTTCTAACACTGTGAGTGCTGATATTTTATGAATGTTTTATCACTGGCTTGGAAACAAGAACTTTGCAATTGAATCAACAGTATGTCAGACAGACAAAATATTAAAAAAAAAGAACATTAGTGAGAATTACTAATGTCCCTATTGTAAAAACAAACTGGAGTTAATAAGAAACTTGATCCTCTTAACCGATTAACGAAAGTCAAGTTTTAATTGCATGGCTTCCCAGACAAATCAGGTGGCACCGTTAACTTGAGCATTGGTTGTTCAGAGGGTGCAGCAATGAGGGGAACTGCTGCATATTCAGTTACCCACCTCTTTTTTCGACAGCTTCAATGCATTGCTTTACAAACCATGGAACTGTGGAATTTTCACGTTCACACACTGTGTGCAGATGAGAGCCAAAAATTTGATCTGCAAAGGAAACAAAGATGAGCTTCATTAAAATCCAAGCTTGCGTTGTTCTTTAATTTGATTCTGTTTCCATATCTAGTGCATGCTGAAATCTTCATCTTGCATAGGAATTGATTTTTTGCTTTAATTTCAAAGTGTCTATGGCAGACACACAAAGACTATAACTCCCTTCTTTATGGAAAAGGACCCTGGCCCCAGAGTAAGAAAGCTAACACTGGTATTGATTAGGCAGGATGACTGAGTAAGTTATAGTCTCTCTGGGCCTTAACTTTATTGTCTATAAAATAAGGACAAAGAATTAAGGTAACTTGCACAAAATAATTTGACTTTCGTATCCTGCATGTTTTAGAAGAAGTTTATCAGTAGTCATCAAGATTATGATTTTATAAGTATATTTAGGACATTCATTCTGCAGATCAATGGTATTTGAAGAGGCATGTTGCAGAAGAGGAACTTTGAAGGGAATTGCTTCACATTTCTGTGCTCTGAATGCCCTTCCTCCTCTCTAAGTATCACCTTTCCTTTGGGGTTCAGCTCAGATCACCCTTTCTCCACAAACTCCTTCCCTCCTATCTTAAATCTTCATGTTCTATGCCATAGGTTCTTTGGAATACCAATTACTCAGGATGTTCATGGGGGATGCTAGAGAAGGGCTTATGAACCAAGTGGTTTAGCAACATTAGATTGCACAAAGTTAAACAGGTATCATTAAATTGTTGTTATTTTCTAGAAGTAGTGAAAAGTCAATGCACATGGTGAGTTTCTATGGTTGGGGATGCATTATTTCTCAAATGAGTAAATCCTTTTATTTCAGACAGATCCTTTTTGGACAAATGTTTCTGAGAACACATATTACAAGTTCCCAGGCAGCTTAGTAGTCTCATTTGTTACATGACCTATGCTACCTTACATTATATACTTGAATTTATAGGATTTACTCTCTTAAACCTTACTTTGAGCACTTCAATAATCTATGTCTTTTTCTAGTTACCAGAATTAAGCACTGATTTTTGCATAGCGTGCACTCCTGAACTTTTTTTAAAAAAACATTGTTAAAATATGTATAACATAAAACTTACCATTAAACCGTTTTGAAATATACAGTGCAGTGGCTTTAAATACATTCATAATATTTGCGGTCACCATCATCATCCACTTCAAGACCCATTTCAAGAGCATTGATAATTATTACTGATAATAAAAGTAATATGTGGTGAGTCCAAGGGCTTCCCATTTTGATCAGAATGAAATCAAAATCTCTCTTGTGACTTACTGTGCTGTGCATGATCTAACCTCCACTAATTAGTTGACTTCATTTCTGTCCTTTTCCCTCTCACTAAACTTGCCTGCAGCCCCACTGTCCACAATACTGTTTCTCATCACTGGCAAAGTGCACTTCAGCCTCAGGGACTTTGCACTCATTATTTCCTCGGCATGGAACTCCATTGCTGCAGGTCTTTGATCAAACTGTAGCTTCTTATTGTAGCCTTTTCTAACCACCTTTTCTTAAAAATGGCACCACTCAATACCATTTTCTGTGCCATGTTCCCTACCCTACTTTTCTTAGAATATTTATCTCCACCTGACATACCAGACTCTCATGCTCTCTACTTAATTTTTTCCCTTAAAATGCAAAACCCAGGAGAGTAAAAAACATACCTATCCATTATTACTAGATCTCTGGTACCTAGACAATATTTGACACATACTGGAAGTTAAATAAACATTTGTTGAATGACTGAAGACACTATCTTAATCAGTGGAGAAAATCAATAAAATAGAAATATGTAAAATGGGGAGAGAGCATGTAATGAGGTCTAGCAGAATGCCAGGTGATACTTTATTATAAAGGGGTGTGTGTGTGTGTGTGTGTGTGTGTGTGTGTGTGTGTGAGAGAGAGAGAGAGAGAG